CTGGGAGGACATTAAAACTGACATAGGTATCATCCATAAAACAATCATTGACACCTACGATTCTCTTAGACACAAACGAGCTATGGGAAGTCTTTAAATCTAAACTCATCAACTCTGTCGAAAGAAATATTCCATCCAAGATCCTACGAAACAATCACCGATTACCGTGGATCTCTGACAAATTACGACGTCAAATAAACAAGATAAACAAACTACAAAAAGCGAAAAACAGCAAATACACTGAGAAATATAAAAAGATGAAAGCTCAGGTACAAAAAGAACAAATGAAAGCCTACTGGGAATATATTGACAAACTAATCTGCGATCTTCCCATCAATGAACCAGATATTCCAACACAAAACCAGAGTAAACCAAAAAAGCTTTTCTAATATATTAAGTCAATAAGAGCTGACAAGTCTGGCATCTCTGCACTAAAGAAAGACGTCAACATCATCACAGACACTACAGAGAAAGCAAATCTTTTAAATGAACAATTTCAATCTGTATTTACCCCAGTAACAAATGATCCAATACAAAACAAGGGCATCAGCACACATCCTAAGAAATGCAGACACAAATAGCACCAATTCTTTGCAAAATATTTCAAAAACCTTATAACACTGGAATCACACCTGACGACTGGAAACATGCTAGAGTTTCACCTGCATATAAAAAAAGGAGACAAACATAAACCTGTCAACTATAGGCCAATTTCATTAACTTGCATTTGCTGCAGGTTAATGGAGCACATAGTCACCTCACACATTATGAACCATCTTGAATCAAATAACATCTTGTACGACCTCCAACATGGCTTTCGGCACTCTCGATCTTGCGAAACACAACTTCTCTCCTTTATCCAAGAACTCCAATCCACAAACAATTCAAATACACAAACAGATCTTATAATAATGGACTTTGCAAAAGCCTTTGATAAAGTTTCACATCGTCACTTACTCTACAAATTAAATCATTTTGGTATCAATGGAAACACATTAAACTGGATCTCTGCATTTCTCTCCAATCGTACTCAGATAGTTGTCCTGGAGGGAAGATCATCAAGCACAGTCCCTGTCACCTCTGGGGTTCCACAAGATACTGTCTTAGGTCCAGTCATATTCTTGGCCTATATAAACGACTTTCCTGACTACCTTACTCATAGCAAACTAAGATTTTTGCAGATGACAGTATGATATATACATGCCAGTGAAATCCCAGGGTGACTGCCTCAAACTGCAAGCTGATCTTGATGCATCAGCGAAATGGGAAGTGGAATGGCTGATTGCCTTCCACCCAGATAAGTGTACTGTTCTCTCTGTCACAACTAAACGTCAACCTTTACAACATAACTACACCCTTCACAATATTTTTTTAGAAACTGTTACATCTAAATACCTAGGCATCACACTACAGTCAAACCTCAAAGTGGGACAAACATATAGATGACAATATCTCCAAAGCATATAGAACACTTGGCTTTCTTAGGAGAAACCTGAAAACATCTAACCAAAACATTAAGAGCCAGGCATACCAGCACTTGTCCGTCCCAAACTCGAGTACTCCTGCTCGGTTTGGGACCCCCACACCTCAGAATCTATCTCGAAGATAGAGATGGTATAAAGGAGAGCTGCTCGGTATGCCTGCAACAGGTATCATAACGCTAGCAGTGTATCAAACATGCGAAACACACTCAACTAGCCACAATTAACAACGCAGATTACGTGCACGCCTGGTTATGATGTACAAGATCACACATCATCTTGGTGCTATACCATCTAGCACAATTCTCATTCTATCAGACTCGAGAACCAGAATACATCATTCACACACTTTCAGACACATCTATACATTTAAAGACTCGTACAGATTTTCATTTTTCCCATACACAATAACGTAATGGAATCTTCTACCAACTACAGTTGTTCATTCACAGACAGTCGACACTTTCAGAGAGCAGCTCACATATGCTGTTCACTCCACTCATCTAAATAGCTTCATCTCCCGTACATAGTTTTAATCACTTCGCCTGTTCTTTGCACCGTGTCTTTTTGTAAATAACTTTATATTAACGTCTTGTAAATAAATAGGCCACGCATGCACCAGTTATGGATCATCTTTATTCAGATGGAAGACTGGAAAACTTAAAAGAAGAAACTGGTTCTATAGATTTGAAAGCTAGCTAGGTTAATTTGCAATTGCCTGTGAAGTTAATAAATCGAGGTCACACGATTCATGCATATGATAGCCTTTAAACAAAACGTGTGGTTCAATTGGTCTTCAAATCGCTTTCAGCTTCTGATAAAAAAATCGAATACAGGAATTATTAAAGGCTTTTCGGAAAAATAATTTTCAAACTGCCGTACACTTTTTTTAAATTAAATGTCATTTTACACGACAAATTCGTCCAGCAAGGGAGCACCCTTAAATTTTGAAAGGAGCAGTAATCAGGTTCTTGTATTGCACACCTTTTCCAGCGATATATACATACCTATATGTCTCTGCCTTTTCTCTGAGACTACTATAACACATGTGTTATAGTAGTCTCAGCTTTTCTAAAGAAACCATTTGTCAAAATGGAAGAGTCTTCTCTGAGTTTTCTCCTCAATGACTCCTTCATTAGTCAGTTATTTATTGTTTTCCACAGGAATGGTCTTCGTAGCACTTATATATTTATGGGTTATCAATGTAGATAAAACTCAAATCGTTTTATTATATCAGAGACATATAATACATTTGTATTATATATGTCTCTATTAATATTATACTGCCATATGGAACTGAGGACTTTCCATTTGATAATGTAGTGCTTGAACCTCGCATATTAATCATAAAAAAATTTGCAGACAAAAAGTATGAAATGAAAATGTTCCAACTTCGATATTGAGTATATTATATCTTTATTCCACATTAATGGCATATCATTTATCAAATTATCAGCCGTTGTTAAATTGTTAAATCCGTCATAAGATCAACAAATAGTTTAACTGTGGAGTTGTCGTTCCTTATCTCGTCTACATTTTCTGGCTAAAATCAATATAACAGCATTAACAATTAGTAATTTAAAAAAATAAATTGTCATTAAATCTTAAAAATTATAAAAAATGTAAGTCTCTTTCTATATATTTTGATTTATTAGTCACTGAATTATTATTGCAGTTTTTCAATTTTCATCTAACACCTTGTATATTGTAACAATTTTATGATTCAAGAAGTTACAATTTTTCAATCATAGCATACTTACCTGGTACAGGGAGCACCGTGATCAAAAAGGCGGTCTCCCCAGGTCGAGGCCTTTCCATTGCACTTCGGATAGGCTGAAGCTTGCGAATGCCCCAAATGTGGGCATCTCGGGTACGCAATTTTTCAGTGTGGGGGACTGCGTTCGCGCTAACCCCCGATTTTCAAAAGTTAACAGATGATCAACCTTTCCCTGATTATCAACTTGCCACCTTACTTTTGATAGCAAGTATAGATAACTGAATGTTGTGTGCAATTTATTTCATTACTAGCATAGTGCTAAGTGTGATAAAAGAGGGGGTGCTCATCTCCCAAATCCTGCTTTAAAGTAACTTAGTTTTTTCCAATTTTCCACTTTTTTGCCTGTTTTCCCAGATCCCACTTTTTTACCCCTACCAGAGACATATATACTTATTTATGCATTTATAACTCTGATTTTTAAAGAATGGACAAAAATGAGAGATTGATTATTGCCATTTACGGAAAATCTGCATACAGATATATTTATCATTTGTCAGAATGCAAGTTCTTATTATTGCAATACTCACCCAGTCCCATTAATAAAAACCTCACAATAATTTTTGACATTATCTTAACTACCATATTCATGCATTTTGACTGGTTGCATCTGACGATTAATGCAAATCTTAAAACTTGAGAAGCAGGTCCAGACACAGTATTTGCCTTGTGACTATGATCTTCTATAATACATGCTTCTTACTATGGACTTAAAATATTCCTGTTGATCAGTTTGAAAAGATGAATACAAAGTGCAAATTGAAACACTTTGGCCAATTGGTATTGTAAAAGGCCTTTTGAATAAGCACAGGTTAATGTTCTAGGCCACACCTTGTCAATTTGATACAGGCTTAAAAGCGTTATCAATCTTCTTCAGACTTGGACTACTCAAACTCCCAAGGAAAGCAGTGACCCCAAAAAATCCAGCTCAGCATGTTGGTGCAGTACCAAGACATGTTCTCGTCCTGATATATATGTTAAATTTGTCACTGGATATTAAACACTGATCCATCATCATCAAAGCTATTTATGTAAGCTTTATTTTAATGCCACAGCTTTGTCAAAAGATCACACAAATTTAACTTGTGTAAACATTTGTAGAGGGTCTTCAATAATATATCCCTGTAAGATTCAAAGTATTTTGCTTCATAGTTTCAGAGGAAAATGTTAGGAAAATTTGCAACAGAATCAAAGATTTGCTCCTTTAGCTTATCAAAACTAAATGAGGACGGTTTGTAAAGAAAGACCTTTGATACATCAGGAATCATTCCTGAAAAATTTTGATAATTCCTGCAAAGTTTGAATAAAATTAAATAAGTGGTTTCAGAGAAGATGGAAATGTAAAAAGAAAAAGAACACATAACAACAACAGAGCAAAAGTATGGTCAAAATGCCAGGGCTGGTGTGCTTAAAAAGTGATTATTGAGTTTTGTTTCTTAAAATAAACTGTAAAATTATCTAAGCTACTGTAAACCAACTAATTTTCACAACTTTCGCGAATAGAAAAATAACGCGAATATAAAAATAACGCGAATATAAATCGTCGCGAATATGTAAAACTTGGATCTTTCCTTAGTTAACTACGTCAAGTGAATTAGAAAATCGCGAAATTAAAACGCTGCGAAGTGGGCTAGAAATGGCTAAACGCTAAATAAAGTATCCGTGAAAATAAGTTGGTTTACAGTATCATGAATGTTTTATAAACACCCCTGAATAATTTCATAAAGAAATGGAACGACAAAAAGTGTAGTCAATCTTTATTTATCTATGTTTAACAGAAATAACATATTAAATGCCTTTCAGGCTGTAATAAATTAAACTGCCAGAATTTCTGGCTATCACAGACAAATAATAGGTACAAATCTTGAAAGTTTTTCATTATCACAGAATATCTAATTTCCTATAAAACATCAGTCATATCCATCCACCATACTGCAGTTTTCCGGGAAGGTAAACACTTGATAAGAAGATAGGTGATAGGGAGTCTAAGACCTGTATTTCAGCCTTCACTTTTAATTCCAACATAAGTTTAATCTGAAGCAGAGATCAAAACGATTAAAAAACACAGAAGGCAACAATTCTTTACAGAAACATAACATGATCCCTTTTCTTTGAATTAACTTTTGAGATTAATGCTTATTTTATGTGATTGCAAATTAACTTTTCATGTTGAATTTATTAAAGTTAATTTCTTCTTCCTCAATACTGTTACAGTGCTTATCCAATAGGCTTTACCTTTTCCTAATATTATTGAGCAATTTATAGATAGATATAAGAAGATGTGGTATGAGTGCCAATGAGACAACTCTCCATCCAAGTCACAATTTGTAAAAGTAAACCATTATAGGTCAAAGTACGCCTTGGCTCACGCCGAACAGCAAGCTTTTTTAAACTACTTTTTTAATGTTAAGGAAGAATTCTTCAAACTCAGATCAGAAGTAAAAAATTTCAGACAAAAGCCAAGGAAAGATGGTTGTTTGTATAAAGAATTTGTAGTCTTATTATCAAACTTGCATCCTTTTGTGGAAAAAAACCCTATTTCATCTTAGTATATAATTTTTTTTAAATGACAATGTGATATACAAAGTAGAAGATGTGGTATGCTTGCCAATGAGACAACTATTAATGTTACCAAAGGACCAGAATGTAGTCTACTGGTCATTGAACAGTTTTTAACAATGAGCAAAATCCATGTCATATATTAACGCAGTCCATATCCAAAAGTTCCATCTTATAGTAATTTCTGTTAAAAGGAAATGAATTTAAATTTTCAGATCTATTTTATCTATTATCAAAATGAAATAAAGAGAAAACAGTTTGTAAATAATTGTTTGCTGTGAAAGTACTTTAATTCGTGGGTATCAATTTTCGTGGTTAGAGCAAAAGTTACATGTTCGTGTGTTCTTAAATTCGCGGATTCTAGTTTTCTTAAGAACAAATTTAGAAACAAAGATTTTTGAAATTAATAACATGTTTTTTTATAATGATTTGTAGGATATTGCAAAATAAGGTGTCCATTTTCACTTACTTGTTCGTCTTTCATTACTGACAACATTCATCAAATTTTTAATTAAATAATTGCTATTGGAAATAAGATTAATCATCTATGCATATAAATTATCTTGATTGACGGAAATTCCAAAGTACACATTTTGATTGTTGCACACGTGTCATCATAAATGATGACAGTAATTAACCCGAGATTAAATGATCAACAGAGTAACAAACATCAAGGGTGTTAATTGGGCCATAAACATGTCACTTAAAAAACACGGTTCATAAAAATGCTACCAATGTACTTTGAATTGTAGAATTAATTCTTGTGAAATGAAAAAGCAAGCCCAATATGATTTTTTTTCGTATGAGAATTATGAGGAGATAAAATGAACAAGTCATCATCGCATATCATCACCGGAAGTCTGACTTTATTGGATCAAAACTAATTTTTCATGAGAATTAAAAGGTTAAATGTTGTACAGTTTAGGTTTTTAAAAGATTGAATGGGTAAAATCCTGTCTGTAGTTGTATATGTAGTTCATAGTGCATTTGCTGATATTCGATGTATTCTCTAGATTATATGCCCTTATCCATGCAGTCAAACCTACAAGGGGATCTTTCCATGTCTTGATTTGGACAACAGTTGTTATATTTCATTGGGACACTGAAATTCGTGGATAAAGCCATCCACGAAAACCATGAAAATTGGTATCCCACAGTATACGTGTTTCAAATTTAGTTCGTTAAAGGGAAAGTCCGCGATTTTTTACTTATCATCTAAATATGTTCATCTTAACATAAAAAACACATTCACAAAGTTTTAAATTTATATTCTTTCTTATAACGGAGAAAATCAAGTATTTGTAACTTTTTTGGTTGACCTACGTCACTGGGTTGTGACGTTTTAACCCGATTTGTTGAATCATGGGAAAAAATAAAATCTGTTAAAGTCTTAATTGCTTATCAGAATTTTACGTAATTAAAAGCGCACAGATGATCGTTGGTCGTAGTTAATAACCACAATATAAGAATGAAAGAAAATGAATATGTGTGTACCGTTTTGTATTGATTGAATAAAACTTCCTATATGAAGTTATCTAAATATAAATATTTTCGAATTAATTTCATAAATTATTGAGATTTTTTCATAAAATATCTATAGAACATTTTTACTGATATTGAACTGAAAATATTTTAAGTTTTATTTACCGTTATAACTTTGATAACCATTTCAATGCAAAATATTTGTGAACAGAGTGTGTATATTATTTTGTAAAGTCATTGTTTATTTCTCGATTTGAGGAGAATTCGTTTGAACTTTACCTTGCAGCAATTTAGCCTCAGGCGTACACAGGTGTGAATATTGTCATTTTGAATGGATTAACAGAAAGAGTATAGCGTGTTTAATATACCCAGATGAAATACCCGATGACAATGGAGAAACAATAATTAAATTGTATAAATTAATTGAAAATTAATAACATTCAACTTTTTAATTCCGGAAGTATTACAATATTAAAATGGAACAATTTTCGGTTACGTTCTATGCAATTAGCATAAAGTTAAGATATGAAGTTAAAAGAATAGTACTTTTAATCTTAAAAATTAAATGTTACATTTCCCAATTAATAATCATTGCACATCTGTTTAATTTACTTTACCGGAATTCTTTTACTTGTATTTAAATCTGGCGATGTTTAAATGCTAACAATCGTAAAACTATCGCAATTTTAAAGTTTTTAATTGAAAAAGTACAACAGTACAACATGTATGATTTTTTAAAATTTTCTTATTAACATTTCATTCTTACATAATTAAATTCATTTGAAAATCACTTAGAAAATTATTTGTGAAAAGAATACCAATTATCGTTTATTTCATTAATGAATATACATACATTATAAATCTAAGCTAATACATTAATTTATTTGAGGATTTTTTTTAGGATAGCCGTCATTAATTCAAATTAGTAATACAGTTGTTGTAATTAAAGGCATATCTTAGTAATGTATTACTGATATTGACGATTTTAGAACAGTTCGTCCAAACCAGGAACATATATATTGACAGTTAGATATACTGTTCCCAGTCCAAACCTCGTTGTTCTTGAAACAATCTTTACTAGTATACTTGTAAGTTTCCTGACGCATAAGCGCCATTGAGGATGAGCTCCAGAGATAGCAGACTAGTAGCGTATTTGTTTGTAAATTGGGGCAGGAGAGGCCATGCAACCACTTGTACAGATAAACAAGCTTATGTCGTCAACACTATCAGAAAGAGTTCCCATCGTCGGATGGGATATATGAAGGTTCCAAGAATGAACTATTGACATGTCTGACTCTGAACAGTTAGTAAACGGACTTAACAATGATCTATAGGCATCGACCGCTTGTTCTTGATATTTGAAACTGCATGCATATATACGTTTATGAGAGTGATTATTTATCTTGTGTCTGACGAAAACTAAATGCCTGCATGGTTATATCTTGCCATACGTTTGTATTGGTTTGGTGGGTGTTCACTCAGAATCGTAATTCAAAAATTGTGTTTGTGAGATGTAGATTCACTTCAATACCGAATTTCGTCTATATATTTCACAAGTGTATACCACGGAGAAGATCTGAAGGTATATTACTCCCATTTTGTTTGGGTGTGAACCATCGATGTTTACAGCAATATTTAATGAATAAGATGATGATGGTAGAAAGAACTATGAGCGTCATGTGGAAAATATTACATGCATGTCGGACCATGAGTTGTCAATCTGTATGAAAAGATTTCCAATACAACCATACTGAGTAGGAATTTTTACATGCTATACTCTCGTACTAGTATTACAGGGTACTTGTGTCGTTTAACTCAGACACACATCTTTTACTTTAAGATGTATGAAAGGTTCTAAATGTATATATGTATCTTAAATGTAACAATAATCAAACGCATATAGGCAATCACTAAAATGGTATGAAGTTTTTATACAGATTTATTCTTATTTAAACAATCATTAACAAACTAAATAAATTTAACAAAGTAACACCGTGACACTACGATATAACAAATGGGATACTAATTATTTTTAACCATGCTATGCAGAAACTTAACACATCAAGCAGGAACATATATATTTATATACTGTTCAGTGCACGTGAATACCAATAAGGAACACGATGTGTGAATTTGTATAACTAAAAATATCAAAGCGAGCAATAACTTTGTCAAGCAAACATTTCTTTTCACTATACCTCTCTTTATCTCCGCTCATTTACAATAACTATTTCGCTTTTCGTCGATCATTCTCTATATTGTTCTCTATTCGGTTATTTTTTTTCACTATGCCACTCTATCTCCGCTCCTTTTTCCCCTGTCGTCCTAATCCTTATAAAGATAGGGACATTAGACATATATAGAAGGGGCTCTCTTATCTTCAATGAATTAATATGGATAGTGACTATAAGTGCTGCATTACTTTATATATCTGCATGTTTGCCAATCGACAAAAGCTTGTATTTGCGTGAAGAATTTTTTTTTCTCAAAAATATGGTCCAGAATCATGACAAAACAATATTCATTTTACCAAAATGCTCATAGGTCATGTTTATAATTTGTTTAAACTTATTATCAGCAAAAATAGTGGATAATATTATTATAAGAACATCATTCATTAAAAGGTGGAATTATAATTTCAAACACACACACGATAAACAACGTTAGACACAAATATATGGTTCAATAAATGTTACCTGTGCACACCGGGTACCTCAATAAAGAGGCCATGCATGAACCTGTATTATATAATTGTGTAATACGAATTTTTAGTTGACAGGATGTCACTGGAATACCCAGGGACGTGTATCTAATATACGTCCTTGGAATACCTAACTGAATGTGTCGCTCTGACACGACATCTATCAATAATTCTGACATACCTATTATCAATTCGGGAGGAAGCCAAAATATATATATAATAAGATAACGTAAATAAAAATTACAGAAAAAAAACCTATAAATTTTTCACCGAACATACCAGAAAGAGTCACACATTTAACTGTAAAGCTTAGTGTCTTTATAAGTGACCGTTCCGAATTGATCCCGTATCAATTTGATATAATTTAAAGATTAGTTAAAAAAAAAAACACTTAATTTTAATAAAAAAAATTGAGATGTCCGATATTTCGATATTTACATATCTATAACCTGGGAATATTATACTATATCATTATCGTTAATTATCATAATTAAAAAAATGTTATTTTATATCGTATAACTTTATTAATTGAAAAATTATCTTGTCTAAATACGGAACTATTCTTTATACAAATAAATGCACTTTATATAAAAGAGGCATACTAATGAATCTTCTGTAAATCAGTGATTGTTACAAGAACACTGCATTTGTCTTTCTTATAATTGAAACTGTTCTTCCTCATCAAATCTATATTTTTTTATTCAACGAGATCTTATCATATAAGGATTTGATAACTATAGATGGGTTTATCTGTAGTTGACCTAGAAAACATGGGCGCATCCATAAACCTCTCGCGTGACCGATCCGCCATTACAACCGTGAAAAATAACGCACGTGTATTGATCAAAACATTATCGATTTTCTGTTTACATTTGTATTTCTTTCATTTTCTGATTTATTTTACTATGGATGCTGCTGAAAGTTATAAAAAACATGGAAGCATTTCTTGTGCAGTTAATAGTTGTATGAATAATCGTAAAAACTTCAGGTGTGGAAAAAATCAATATGCGAATTACACCAGTTGCACAATGACTGCCCTCGTTTGATTCCATATACGTCTTATGTGATGCCTTCAGACAAGCCAACAAACCTGAATGGATAAAAGCCGTATAAACATAAAAAATTTTGCATAAACAGGTTTTTGTATGGTCCGGACATATTTTTTTTTTTTTGGATGATGCGCCACTGCACACAATCCGTTTTTTTTTTAAAATAAAACTTGTTATGAAAGTAAAATAACACTGACCAATGTTTACACGTTGTAATACGACTGTTAAAACTTAAATTAATCTATAAAATTTAATCCGATGATTACAGTGCATCTACCTCTTTTTGTATAGAAGATCCACCGCGACATCAGATGCGGATCCAGGATTTTGAAAAAAAAGGGGGAGGGCGCGTACCCCCAAACTTTTGTAGTGGAAGCGGTAAAATGTCTGGATTAACCATAAATGAAGCTAATAACAATGAAACCTATCCCGAGGCTACATGTAGATATAATTGCAAGCAAATCAACCCTGAGTGTGAAGAGACGAACTTTTTTCATTCATGACTTCTATAGTATCTTTATGCTGCAAAATGGACAGTCCTTCCGACAATATTCACTCAGACAAAAATATTGTTAACAGAGGAGTAAGGAGTTCAAAATTAAATAAAAGGGGGGGACCTCGTCAGCCGTTGTAACTAAGTTTTCTTTACTTTAGTGGAATTACTACACAATTTAATTTTCAACTAAGATATTGCAGATCAGCTGTTACTCGATCGTACGGATGAGGTTTACACTTAGTTTGATATTTGGTTATTTGGGACGGCGCTTTAATATTTCGAAAAGTAAGGCTTGTAAAATATTTTATTCCTGGGTGCAGTTCTTGCTGAAAAATTAAAGGTTTTATATATATATATATATGTAGGTATGTACGTGTGCTTATGGTATATTTTCACTTTATTTTCTTTATAAGACGTATACAGTCGCTTTGAATTTACATGTTGGAGTCTTTGGTGGTTTAATGGAATTCATTTATATTAAGCACGGGCTGGATTATGATGTGGTATATACTATACATACTATAGTAGTTGTATGTCGAGAAATTTTTCTGCAAAAGAAATTGGAATCGAACACATAATAACTAAAGGAATACATAGGCCGTGAAAGTTCAAAACTTCTCAAGTTAAACCCATATTCTAATAGTAAAGGTATATCTACATATGTCCCGACGCATCGATAGCATATAGCGCAATTCATGCGGACACCAAAGTAATATGAAAATGTCACTCAATTTTTAGTATTATACTTGAGTCAAGCAAAAAGCACACAACTCTCGTCTCTGTTGGACCGTCTGATTAGTGGATTGTTAAATTTTAGGACTTTATCATTATAGGTCTGACCACAGAAATTTCTATGATTTGATAAAATTGCACCCTGGTTTTTCTGATATATCACATTCGACCGGTCAAGACTATTAATTTTTTTATTTATGTATGCGTTATAATTATATATATTATGATTGCCAAATGATTATAATCGACATGTAACCTGGGATTAGTATTCGTATAAAATTTATTATGTCCCGCGTGTAACATATCAAATTAATACATGGTTATATTTTAACTGAGGACACGACACCTGGCCTGCAATACACTTAGAATCCTTATCTAATTACTTTATTATTTATATAGCACATATTATTTTGCCGAGGTCAAGTACAACTTCACATTCTTGTGTTTACATTTAATTATATGCGGTCAGGGCATATAGATCTATATCTAATCGGAAACATTTGTGCCAAGGCAAATAAAACCATCGGATTTCTCAAAAGAAACCTCAATATCTCTAACAGCGATATCAAAGAAAAGGCCTACATCTCCCTCGTTAGACCAACAGTCGAGTATGCCAGCTCTCTATGGGATCCATACCTCCAAAAAGATAAACACAAGTTAGAAATGGTACAAAGGAGATCGGCCAGATATGTAACAAACCGGTACAGTAACAGATCATCCGTTACTGATATGTTGGAACAACTAAAGTGGACACCACTTGAAGATAGAAGGAGAAGCGCACGACTATCAATGCTGTATAAGATCAACAATCAGGAGGTCAACGTTGCAGCAAGCCACAAACTCGTTCCACCGGACAGGATCTCAAGAAATATGGGCACAAACTCTTTTCAGATCCCACAATGTAACACGACAACAAGGAAAGAGTCATTCTACCCGAGGACCATCAGGAATTGGAATGCCTTACCCTCCTCAGTTACATCTGTCAGCAGCCTTGAATCGTTCAAGAGACTCCTGACAAACAAATAAATCAAAAGCCCTTGTTTTTAATCCCCACTGTTAAATATTTGTATAGCACCTTTTTTGTTTGTTACTTTAATCAAAATTATATTTGCGCACACCCAAAAGTGACAGAATAGTCAACATGATGACGGTGGTCACTAACTGGTAGAAGTAGAAGTATATCTTGTTTATACTTTTTCACGGTTGTAATGGCGATCGTACTACGACGACGCCTAGGAGTCGCGTCACAAACTAAGGCAGATAATCGGAAAAACCTGTTTATAGCTACCAGAACTGCTAGGTTATTTTGTTATTAAAAAAGGATAATTACCATCGAATCTCCCTCGAAACAATATTGTTCAAAATGGTCTTCACACACCAACTTGTGCTTGCTATAGATGCAACTATTTGCTGTTAGTTTAAGGTTGTACAACCATGTCTGATACAATTCTTTCTTTTTTTGTGGGATTGGGAAAACTATGTAGACTTTTGTCATAACCTTGCCTGACAGAACAACCGTACGCTTGACAAGACATTTTGACACTGAATAAACGTCTACGGTAATTCCCAATTGATGATGGGAGTTTTTAACGCACGGTCGGTAAATCCCCGATTCTTTTTGTTCTTTGTGGTTTATAGATATCACGTGACTTTTTAGATCGAACATGCCGACAAGATGGCGATATGTCGAGAACTGATAGTGAATTTCAAAAATCGATTTTGATCTCTTTACATAGAGAATAAAAGTTTTTTATTTATGAACAAGTGGTTTTTTATGCTTAAAGAACAAAATATAAATTTTTCATTTTTTGGCGGAGTTTCCCTTTAACTTCAGGTTTTTTTTTGCTCATTCTGCTGTTAGATCATTTTTGGACCTTTCATCAATTATTTGGTGCATACGTCCTACTCCTGAATAAAAACATTATATTTATAGCCAACAGACATTCTGCAACCAACTCTTATCAACATTTTTTATATATGCAATTATTTCCCCTGTTTATAAATTTGCAAGGGCATGTAACTTTTATTTCACATGTTTAGCACTTATGCATAGTTCAAGTTATTAAAATGTTTTTCCTTCATTGTTAAATCCACCTTTATTTCATTTCTTCAATGCATACTACCAATTTATCACTACTTGAAATCTTTGAACCTTTCTTTCCAAATGATTCAAACTTTTTGCTAATATAAATACCTCCTTCTCCAGTCCTGGAAAACTTGACAAAAATGGCCTTGAAAGTAAGTCAGAAATTTTGTTTTTATCTCCACTTGTAAGTGATATGCAGTTATCTACATCTATCCCAAACCTATAACATAAATAAAAACTCCTGTCAGAAATATTTTAATGAGGATTAGTGTTGTTTTCATGAAATTTTCTAAGTTCTTTGGCAATAATTACCTAGTTCAAACTCATGATCATTTGTGATATGTAACTTCTCATTGATTATACAATTGCATGCTATACAATATACCTGCAAAGAGGCTCACAAGAGAAAATCAGCTATTGTTTTTATGAAAAATCAGAAATGGTGAAGTCTAATGGCTGTAATAAGGTCAATCAGAATGAAACTGAAACCTAATTTGAAACTTCTCATTCTTCAAAAAATATAAAATATCAGTTAAAGTTATGCAAGGAGTTTAGAAACTGAAACACAGTCGCAAGAGGAATGAACCCCCTTTTTTCTGTATATATATATTTTTTTAAATATTCCTTTATATTTTAACTTATTTAATGAAATTTAGACCTAGGTCAAGGTCAATTGAAGGCTGTCATATGCACTTTTTCATGTACATGTATAAATATAAACCAGAGGCTCTAAAGAGCCTTTATCGCTCATTTAATAAAGGCTACTCTCAAACATAGACGAGAATAGAATTCATGACAAAAATCTCTGTTTTGTTGATCTTGTATTACTGATCATTTAGTCTGTATAGTTTCTCTCTATCTTCTTTAGTTTTTGCTCAAAACACAAAAGAGGGTAAAAAAATCCTCATTTAAGGGCAATCACTCCTATAAAGAGTGACAGTCTACTGACTATATCGGCAAAATTTGAATTGTTAGTAGATCTTGCCTAGCTGATCATTTTTGTGATTTAAAGTGTCTATTTATCTATTATAATTTTTGTCATATAAGGCAAAACACCAAAAAAAAATAAAATCATCATTAAAGGGCAATAACTCCAATAAGGAGACGTTGGAAGATTTTCTCCGCTTGCCTTAATTGTAAATCTTGTCTTGCTGATCATTTTTGCTTATTTAAGTGTCTGTTTATCTATTATAAGTTTTTAGGAAATGAGGCAAAAACACAAAAAATTGGTAAAAAATCGTAATCAAAGGGCAATAACACTAATAAGGAGTCGACTGATGATTTCGACTATGCTGACTTATTTGTAGAACTTGTCTTGCTGATCATTTTTGCAATTTAAAGTTTCTCTCTATCTATCATAATTTTCAAGATGATAGGCAAAAATGAAAACAAAAAGTAAAATTTGTCATTTAAGGGCAATAACTCTTATAAGAAGTTGTCTTGACAGTTTAGACGTATACGTACAATTGGTAGAGCTCAACATTCTGAACATTTTTCGCTACTGTCAGATTTCTCTATTTGTAACAGTTTTCAAAATAATAGACAAAACTTGCATTTTTCTTCATGTTATATTTTAGCCATGTCAGGTGGGGTCATCAGACACATTTTTTAAACTAGATACCCCAATGATGATTGTGGCCAAGTTTGGTTAAATTTGGCCCAGTAGTTTCAGAGGAGAAGATTTTTGTAAAAGTTAACGACGACAGACGAAGACAACAGATGACAGACGCCAAGTGATGAGAAAAGCTGACTTGGCCCTTTTGGCCAGGTGAGCTAAAAAAAGTGTGAAAATGAGGTTGAATGCCATATGACACATATATCTATTTCACAAATATTGTTGAACGATAATGTTTAGTTGCTGATATAGATAAAATCCTAAAAATTTAACATGACAACTAGTGTGTGACAATGAGGTCAAGGTCATTTGACATGTCTGACATACAATTACTCCGAACAACAAATTTACATACCAGACATTGCTGACTTGTGAAGTATAGTTACTAAGATACAGAAATAGTACTAAAAACATGAAATGTCAGCAAGTTGTAAAGAAGATGTCAAAAAAGAAGAAAAAGTTAAAAGAACATAAATGATAGAAACAGTGTGAAGACACCACCTTATTATTTAAATAGACTATAGCTACCCAATGTATATATATGTCGAAACAGGTAAATTGGTCTTCAAAGATTATATCTGACATGTACAGTTCACAGAGAATTTAGTGAAAACAAAATAAACTGAATAAATAAAACAGTTTGTTTGTAGGAAATTATGATGTCATTTATGACAACCCATACCTTTTGATATCTGTTGGTAAAATACCAAGCCATCGAACAGAAGGTACAGCAAGATATTCTGACTCAAATGCTAAGGCCTGCAATTATAATCAATATGAATGATTTATTTTTTTAATTTCCATTGAATATCAGTTATGCAAGAAAAAGAAAATACTTTCCATACATAATACCAGAATTTCTATTGATTAAATCTTGTTTGTTTGATATTTATACATTATTGAACTAAATCTTGTAAGTTGTTTTTTTATTTTACATTTATATATATTAAGCAGAAGAATACATTGTCATAAGGAAAGATGCTACAATGAGAACAATTGGGTTTTATATAAAGTAATCAACCCTTTTCACAAAACAATTGTCAACAATAACTTTTTTGCAACACTGGAAATGTGTAAATAATAAAACATTTAAAAACAGACTTGACTACAATTCAATGGCTCTGAAATATTGTACTTTAATATCTTGTGTAATGCTTCCTTAATAAATTTCATCAACTGTCAGACTAAATTAGGCATAATTTTTAATCAATCAATACAAAAAATTTCAAAGAGAGGCAGTTTGAATGTATTTTGCATATGGTATGATGTAAAGCCATTACTGGAAGTAATCTAAAAACAAAAACAATATCAACAATTTTAAGAAGGATTATCATTTGTTTGTCTTTACAAAAAGCACTCATATAATATTAATTTGATTTGCTATATCACTGATTGATGGCATTGAAACTCATGTGTTGAATTTGGTCACTTGCCTTAGAACCATATTTGTAGATTAACATGATTTCTATTCCTGAAAAAGAAATATAATGTATCGTATATAAATCAATCAGATGGTTTATTTTAAGATGAGTGTTTACACAACACAACAACAAAATAAACATTTTTATGCACCTGTCCTAAGTCAGGAGCCTGTTGTTCCAGTGGTTGTCGTTTGTTTGTGTGGTTCATAAGTGTTTCTTGTTTCTTGTTTTTTATAGATTAGACCGTTGGTTTTCCTGTTTGAATTGTTTTACACTAGTCTTTTTGGGGCTTTTATAGCTTGCTGTTCGGTGTGAGCCAAGGCTCCATGTTGAAGGTTGTACTTTGACCTATAATTGTTTACTTTTTACACAATGTGACTTGGATGGATAGTTTGTCTCATTGGCACTCATAATACATCTTCTTATTTATATTATCCTATGAAGAGTACCCATAGTACAAAATGTATTATATGGAATAATTATACATGTCGGATTATAAAATTGACTTTTTACAGGCTAAAAAGTATGTAGAAGTGCAAGGTTTGGCATTCATTTCTACCCTGTTTTCTGGCGCAAGAAGTACAAATAATATTTGAGAAGAGGTTCTCTATTTATACTGCAACAGCTATGCTTTTCATTTTTGCAATAATAAAATATTCCATTAAATAATGGTTAGGATATTTAAATCAGAAGTCTTTAATATTCTGCAAACCTGTAATCCTTCATATCCTCAAAACTGAACTTCTACAAATCTATATTACTGTGAACATAAAAAATAAGGCTTTATATGGTCAGGGCTATTCCATTAACATGTATGTGGGAGGGTAGGAAGGGACTTTCAAAATATCCCTACAACCAAGAACCATTTTTTAGATAATTTTGCATAATGGTAATAGACGCATACTGAAAAAAGACCCATGACCCACATTCAATAATTAACCTTCCCTTCCTACCCTCCCACATACATTTTAATGGAATAGCCCTCAGTAACTTCTGTTTAAAATATTTTGACTCCGGTTATATGGCACCATTTTTTTTCATGTGATTCAACATACATTACTTCCAGTATATTCATTTCATATGGTACATCTAGAGACAACTATTTCTTGCAAAAAAATCCATTTGTTCTAAAAGTGCCAACATCTCAAAAACAAGTACTGTAAATTCAGAAATTAATGCGAGGTTTTTATTAATGCGAATAATGCGACTGAATGAGTATCGCAATAAAAAAATTCTTATATCTGATACATATAACTGCATGCACATTATCCTGAAATCGCAATAATAAATCTCGCATTTTAGTCCATTCTAGAAAATTCGCAATAATAAATGCACACAATAATTTCTGAATTTACAGTACACACTAACATCACGTTTAGTATTTAAACACTAACCATGAGGGTCAGCATCCACCAATGCCAGCATAGGTATATGGAATTTATCCCACAGAAGTTTCAACAGCAATCTTGTATTCATGTCAGGAAAACCTTTTGCCTTAATAAATAAGAACATGCAAAGCTGATTCAAACAAAACAAAGGTAATGAATGATAAGCACATTGGATTTTCATATATTGAATCCTTTCACATTTAAAAAGGAACATGTTGAAGGCCGTACGGTGACCTATAGTTGTTAATTTCTGTGTCATTTGGTCTCTTGTGGAGAGTTGTCTCATTGGCAATCATACCACATCTTCTTTTTTTTATATGGTCATACTTTTAGCATACAAGTTTTGAATCCTCAAAATATCAGATATGACATGTCAATGTCAATTTAAAAACAGGAGACTGAAATGTACAATATACAGTGATCACTGTCAAGATTCAGCATCCCGTCACAGTAAAACCTGACCAAGTTGAAATTTTTACATAACTTATCACAGCTCATGTATAATTGTGTTGTATCAAGTCCACTTCAATAGAGGCAGTAATTATAATTCTGGTGTCTCATCACATTTAGAGCTACTTTTCTAACCGACAGAAATTGGTAATTTACTTACAGTTACCAGTATACACTGCTTAAACTTCAGATGAAAGCCATCATCTAATAACTTTTGAAATGTAGCATCTTTCTCTATAATCAAGACAAACTTTGCATTTGTTTGTAGGAGTTAGAACTTTATTAAGGAAACAAAGTGCATGGTATATTTCTATATTAAATTTTGAAAAGGATAGCATATACAAGCTGAAGTCCACAAACTTTTCATTGAGTCCATTCCCATAAAGAAATTTATAAATAAAAACATGAAGCAGTAAAAATTAATTTTGTTAGGAAAAAATAAAAATCATTTTGAGAACATTCCTACACTAAGAAAGGAATCTGATTGCAAATTTAATCTTTTACACATTTCTGCCAATTGAACATGTTAAAATGAAAACTATTGTTTTGTTTTGACAGTTATATATTTATACAGATGTTTCTAGTTATTCCTTGAAAAAGAAATCTTGATGGATATTTCATATTTTCACATAAATCAGTTTATTATAAAAATCAAAGTTAAAGGCTGTTGAGATAATGCAAGTACAGTGTAAAAGAGGCATTGGGGTTTAATATTTAGTTTATTTAACACTAAGTTTTCAATTAAAAAATGCAATTTTTTCACCGCTAGCCTGCCCCTCTGAATCACCACACTCAAAAATAGAATAGAACAAAACTTTGGTGTTCTTGCAAGTTATGACAAATTTTAATATCTTTTATAAAGGATATAACTTATTCCCATTACATGTGATGGCACCATGACACCCTGAAAAAAGAAAAAAAGTTTAGAATGTTGTACATATGTATTTTAAGAGGAAGATAATATATTGGATGTATAAAATTCAATGAAAACTGCTGCCTATAAAGACTGCTTTTGTTTCTTTATGCATTTGAATATAAAATAATTTGCCAATATATCAAAACATTTACACTGAAAATTCTTCAAAATTACAGTAGTTGTCTTTGCAAGATAAATTATAAATTAACAGATCAACCAAGTCCTTAAATACATTTAATATAATATCTAAAATAACAGACACATCACAAATATAATGTGTATCAAATATCTTACAGAAAATATTAACTGTTTTATTTATTAATAACCTGCAATAACCTGTCAATTTCACTCAAATTTACCATAAATGTTAACTTCAGTTATCTCCCCTTTTCTGTTAAAAACTTATTTGCCTCATGCACTGTTCCATAATGTCTACTTTCTTTGAGTGAAGTTTTAGCGAAATCCATCTGACAGTTAAAGGAGTGTTATAAGTTTCACTGTAATACAGATTGATGACAGAAGGGAAAAAGTTATTTCTATCTAAAGAATTTTTTTAGAAAGGTGACCTATTCACATTATGGCAGAATTAAACACATTGAGGGGCAAGGGATGCACTTTTTAAAGACCCATACAGGTACCACCCATTAAAAACGTTTTCATTTTAATTATATGTCTTACAAAATTCTTAATAAAATGCAACCACCCATATTTAATTAATTTGAGTGTCTCCCATCTCCCCACCTGATAAATTTTGGAATAGCCCTTACTTGGGATATCATCTTTCTTGTCTTTTTCACTACAGGAGAAAATATAAGGAATTTTCAAAGGGTGGAAATTTGATGAAGTTTGCTCTTAGTTAGGATTTTCATGCTCCACTTAAAACAAGAATATACCTTACATTTTTTGTAGAATTACAATTGGTAAAATTTCCATCAGCATCTTGGAAAGACAAATCACCAGCAAGTAATCCTTTCGATGTTCCAAGCTAAAAGATTTAAAATACGCATTGTATCATTGATGCCAACTGTAGGAACTTGGAATTTTTTTTTTAAATATTTTAACCATCACATTTTAAATCTTAACATCAGCTCTCAAATAATAAAATAATATTTTTTGTTCCATGCAAGGATTTTTAAAGTCCAATAAATTTATGCACATTTATGTAACAAAAATCAAAGGTATGTTTTGGGGCTAACATGGCTCTTGATATTCACAGAGAATAATTTTTTTTACAATAATTTCTATATAAAGGCTTCATTAAAATGTAAACATCAGCTTGGCTTGCAGCATTTAGTCTGGATATGATATTATAATGGAAAATTACCAGATTGTTTTCAAATAACTTAGTCAATTTCAGTAATATTTTGGATAAATCAACATAGAGCACACATATTTTTTGTCAGCAAGTATTGTAAATTCAGAAATTATTGCAAGGCTTTTATTAATGCGATTAAAGCAACTGGGTAAGTATCGCAATAATATATAAACCATGAGAATGAAATTTTATTTTTACAAAAAAGCAGTTTTATTTAATTGAAATACAAAGATTTTTAAGGGAGATAATCCAAGACACTGCAAATTGAAGAAGTTATAAAATTTTGATTGTAGGTACCCATTTGGCCAATTTCTCCTTTTTAAAAAATATGTAAAGTTTACTATAGAGTTCAGAATGCCTTTATACCACATGAAGATGCCATCTTGGAATCTGTAACATACAAGATATGTTATCAACAGCTTCATCAACAGCTAACTGATTACCAAAAAATGTTGGATCCTGATAAAACAAATCTCTGAAAATAGACAAATAATGGCAAATAATATGTATTCAATGTTTTCAATAACAGTTCATCATTTCTGGTTCTTCAAAACAGAAAAAGTTTGTTTAAAAATTATCAATAACAAATCACTATACTACAACTTGTTGGAACTATGTATATCTCTCATACATTTTCTTCATATAGTATTGTACTTCTTAGAAAAGGTAGGGAATAATTATACATTGTACTTCTTTCTTTTACATCTTTTTTTTTCAATAATGGTACCATACCTTGCTCTAGAGTTGAATAATAAACAGCGGCGCCATGAGCGCATGATACGCCCGTCGTCTTGTGTGTGAATTTTTATGCAATAAGCATAAATAGTTTCTGACATACGGCGTGATTTGCGAAAACCCCCTTTTTTTTTTTTTACAAAAAACTCAATATCTCTAAAAATAAAATTTTGAATCAAAACCTAAAAGTATAGAGATCTTCAGATTAATATAACTAAGAAGTGTGTAAAATTTTAAGCAATAATCATAAATAGTTTTTGAGATACGGCGCGACATGTGAAAACCCTCCTTTTAAAAAAAAAAAATCAATATCTCAAAAATAAAATTTTGAATCAAAACCAAAAAGTATACAGATCTTTAGATTAATATAACTAAGAAGTGTGTAAAATTTTAAGCAATAATCATAAATCGTTTTTGAGATACGGCGCGACATGTGAAAAACCCCTCCCCCTTTTTTTACAAAATACTCAATAACTCAAAAATAAAATTTTGAATCATCACCAAAAAGTATACAGATCTTAAGGTTAATATAACTAAGAAGTGTGTAAAGTTTTAAGCAATAATCATAAACCGTTTTTGAGATACGGCGTGACATGTGAAAAACCCCTCCCCATTTTTTAACAAAATACTCAATATCTCTAAAATAAAATTTTGAATCATCAACAAAAAGTATACAGATCTTAAGATTAATATAACTAAGAAGTGTGTAAAGTTTTAAGCAATAATCATAAATTGTTTTTGAGAATGGTGCGACATGTGAAAAAAAAACACACACCTGTTTTAGTTACTAAGTCCTGTAACTCAAAAAGTTTTAATCTTATTTTCACCAAAAAGTATACAGATTGTTTGACCATCATAAGAAACAACTATGTTAAGTTTCATGAAATTTGGATAAGTCATTCTCAAGTTACGGTGCGACATGTTTACGCCGGACAGACAGACAGACGGACACCGGACATTTGTATACCATAATACGTCCCGTCAAAAAATGACAGGCGTATAAAAACAAGGTATGAATCACACCTTTATACATATATGTATATCCCTCTTCGGTATAGTAATATAAATATTGTTGTTCCTTTTATTCAATTCAAATGAAAAAAAAAATTTAAGGGAGATAATCCATATGGGTGAAAACATCCTATAAATATTAATAGATATGATAACATAAATATTGCCATTCTTAATCTTCTGGAAAAAATTACGCTTCTTATGATGTTATCATTGCATCATTTTTAAAGATTTTTTTTTCTGTAAATAATTATGATAAACTTCAGTTTTTCACTTAATAACCTATGTCCTTAGTCTTTAAAAATGTATTTTGCAACCAACTTTAATGACAATGTAGATGCCACATCTCCAATAGTCTCTATGAATTTGTTAACTACTTATTTTGACTTGTTTGATGTTCTATAACATTTATCCAATAAAGGCAAGCAAACACCCTTTCCATAAACCTTTGCAATAACCCTAAATGAATACAGTTTTACCTTTTGGTACAGTATTTGTCTGTTTGGACCAAGGTATACATGATAGACATTACTTTCATCATCAAGGCTACAATAGAAAATAATATAATATAATATAATATAATGCATACTTGAGATGTTGATAGAGATATAAAACTTTATGAAAAACTGATTAAATATCATATAATGTCGAAAAAGGAAAACAGTCATATGATAGTCTGACAGGTCTAATCTGTGTACTGTAAATTCAGAAATTATTGCGTGCATTTAATATTGCGATTTTGTCATTTTAGACTAAAATGCGATTTTAAATTTTGCGATATTGAGAAATATCCTGTTTAGTTCATAGAAAAAAAATTTCAGAATGCGAGTTTAAATTATTGCGATTATAACCCTGTTGCATTTTTCGCAATAATAAAAACATCACAATAATTTCTGAATTTACAGTATTATCATACAATACCAAGTGTTAATTATTACCAGAAAAGTAATGTAATCAGGATTTAGTAGCTAAATAACAAAGACCATGTGTCCATCTAGGACATTTGCATGTTCAGTGAACCAAGAAATTTTGGTCAAAATCCAAATAATGAATATGTGTATTGAGTTTCAAGTTATGTGACTAAAATGTACCTTAATCCAAAACTTGAACCTATTGCATTTCCATGTTTAGAGACATCAGGATCAAAACCCTAATTTGGCATACTAGTATATTTTAAATGGTTCACTTTATAATGAACATGTGTAATAAGTTTCAAATTGAGGTGACCTCAAACCAAAACTTTAACCTGATATGGAACAGACAGACGCACAAACCAGGAAACATAATGCCCCACTTACATATAGACTTGCATAAAAATACAATTACTAATAAGATATCATAGCGGTCAAAAAGTTTTTCACTGGTTTCAACATTTCATCATTACCATGTGAAAAGCATTGTATGGTATAGAAATTGAACATACCAAATTTTTTTGTTGATTGAGGAGATTCGTATCTGACAGTAGTCATTTTTGGATCATTCACCATCTGTAGGCCGATATTCTCTTTAAAACTGAAATATAAGCATATTTGCCATATAACTCATTAATATGAGCAAGACTTAGTGCAACCATGGCAATCTAGATGATGTTTAAGCAATTAATTGCTTGCCTAGCACATGTAGCCAAAACAAACAGTTTAGTCTTACCAGTTTTAATGTGCAATTGGTAAAACAAATATCAAAGTATTTAAAGTTCAGATTGTTCCCATGTATCATATCCTATCTATCTACCCAATTTTTGTACTAATTGCATATTGTGTAGTTATAAATCTTGTCTTGTCATTGTCTTGTCTGTATTAAACAATGCATCTTCCACCAAGGATTATTCAAGAAAAACCGTGATTTATATAGACAGGAAGACAGTGAATAATAATTAGTCATAAATCATTCACATCAAAGTCTTTATTTTTCATACAACGTTCATGACGGAAATTATTTCATGTTCAATGTAAAATTTTCTCATTTCATGTTTTTTTCGTGCAAGTACCCCCCTTTACAACCCTCTTAGATTTAACAATCTATTAAGCAAAAATACTGCTTTTTATAAAAGTACTATGATTGACTGATGTTTAATTAATGTCCATTGGTAAATACTCTTAAAACTTTAAAGCACATTTAGACAAAAAAATATAAAACAATAAATCAATCAGAAGCTAGTTTTCTAACCCTTGGGGCTAGCACATAGGTTAATTAGTGTATATGGTTTTGATAATTGGTTTTTGGATACCACTAATGACACAACATACATGTTAAACTCAGGTCATGAGATTAGGAAATTTTGGGAAGGAGTTTAGACCTCAGACAAGGAGGGTTTTTATCTATGAAATGAGACCCCTGAAAACAGGATTATTGTCGTCCCCATGGATGGTTCAGTTGTATGGCTCTATAAGCAACATGAAATATGCAGGACTTTAATTTATTGGAAGAATGTGAATACTCATCTGTTTCTGACATTGCTGTCTATGCACATGATGATTGCATAGATGCATACATTTACCTTATATTTTCCCATGTGGATCTATTGATATGTTTCATGGTGGGTGATTCTCCTGAGGACATCTGTCCCATAACATCATTCATGACGGTTTGTATCTTTAGTAACACATCAGATTTGCAAAGAATTCTGAAATGTATTGGTTCATTTAAATATATATAAATAAAAATGCTGAAGCTTTTAACAAATGTGTGTAAAAATAAATATAGGAATCACAAATTCAGGGCGGTTATTGATTTCTGTAGGTATGGGTCACTTTTCATGGGACCAAACAGTTCAAAGGTTAATGTTCTTAAGGATGTATTCTTCTGACGTTTCAGTCTAGTTGAAATCTCGTTCTGGAATTATTTCCAAAACATGTGATACAAGTGGAAAATATCAATGAATTTAAAAAATATTATAATCAAACTTAACTCTGTGAAAAAAATTGTGTATTTACAATAAGTATTTTTTGAGTAATAAAATTTTCAAATTTTATAACCAATCAAGTCAGTCTCATTAGCCAAAAATGTTGAGGAAATGGGTGAGGGGTACAAGAAATTATTTTACCAGATACATGTACATCCCATATCAAATTTTTCTTTTAAAATTTCTTAGATATGTACTTTTTTAATCATTTATAACAAAGAAGTTGAAATAAAAGGCTTTTTGTTCTAAAAAAAGAGAAAAATCTCAAATTCACAAAATTGACAACATGGTAAATTTGACACGAATAAGCAACAAAATTTTATAAAACTTTCTTATATATTAACACCTACCCATAGTTTTTTTAAGTTAAACTTATTCAGATTGGTCCACTTCATCTTTAGTGAAAGTATGAAAAAAAGTTTAATTGTGAAACTGCAATTTTTTTCATGATAAAAGCCCCAAAATGGGTAAAAATTGATGAAAAATGGGAAAATCATCAAAATTGGGTACTTTCAAATGGCTGTAGTAAATAAAGAAGTGCACACCATATGAATTTTTCTTCACCAATTATTTTTTTAGTCATATATGGCCCCTTGGAGGTGTACATCCTTAAAGAGGGTGAGTGATTGTTAGATAAGCACCAAAATCACAACTTCTGTATCTGTATGAGTACATTGAAGATGCCAATTCTGGCTTTTACTCAACTTTTCGACTGTTATTGTTAATATATCTCATTTAAATTGCGGGGAAAGGAAAAGGGGAAATTTTCATATTTAAATCACCAAATAGTGAATATATTAATTTGTTTTTCTCATTTCTGATGGTTTGGTATAATCCGTCCGATGCTGTATAAAAACAAAAGACGAATAAAAACAGTTCTCTAGTACAGATCAGTACAGTGTCGGAGGAAATGTTATTTTTTTCATGACATATGTCCTCATGTGATGTGTTTTTGTACTAATAACAATTTTCACTGCTTACGGTTTTCACTGTTGGAGTTTTTATTCATGTGTGTACTCAAATTTTAAAAGCATGTTCTGTCGAATGTTTTTAGGTATCTAGATTTTTTGTCAAGGCTTACTATGATTTTTTACTGTTTCCTATTACTTCACGATTTTCGAATGTCAAAAAAATGGCGTCATATGTTTTCGTATGAATTAAAAATTGGATCAGAATACGGACAGGAAATGACTATAAAATCCGGAAATGAGTATTTTCTAAAGTCGTGGTTCTGATGATCGCTTGAATCATGAAAAAAGTTATTGAATACTTTTCAGTACTAAAAATAATTAGTAAATAGTTTTAGGTTGGTGTTTCATGTGCTGAAATTGTAACATTGTGATTTATTTCAGATTGGCACTGGATTTCTACAAAGGACATTATTTTTTTTGAAAATAAAATGCAGTTTTCAAAATTTGGGATTAAAGGTAAAAAGTTAAGACTGTTTTCATCTTTATGTATCAAGGATGTATAAAAAGAATTGTCAATAGAATATTGAATAAATGGATTTTGAACAACCATTTTATATAAGAACCATGATAATTTTAAGTCGTTGGTTTGTAATAAAAATGACCAAAAAACCACATGACAGTCACATGTCTTGAAGATCCGGTGTCTGACAGGCAGACGATATAGCTATACTTCATGTAACCCCTCAGAATTTTTCTCAACAACTATTCTAGTGATGCGTATTTTTGACATTAAATAAAAATGGCTGACAGTGGCGGATCCAGAGGGGGCGTAGAGGGTGTACGCCCCCCCTTTTGCTTGCACTTTTTTTTTTTTTTTTTTGTGTAAAATGATTAATCAGACTAGACTTCGTGAACTTTGCCATTTCCCGTGTATTTTATTTTTATGCGACAATTCTTTACTTGTAAAGATATTTTTCGCTCGTATTTACTGTAATATATTATTGATTATGTCAAAGTCATGTTATTCTCTACGGTGGAGTTGACCAGTTCGTCGAAAAAAACGTCACTCAGTCATTTTGAAATTCAAATGGTAGTAACACATTGCTTAGGCTGAGGATGACGAGCATGACGCCTTCAAAGCGGCAAAGTATTTAGCAAGAACGTATTGACTTCTATTTCACAATTCCACCCAACAGAAAGTAATACTCTATTACACTCTCATGAAAAAAAAAAGTTCCACATCAATATTATTTACCTACGAAAACATGTTTAACCCCACACGCCCCAGCCCATTAATAACATTGCTGAATAGTGATCCCCAGTCAGTAAGCTCTAGATATAGATTTAAAGTCTAAGGTACGGACCATTTGATCTGAGGGGGCAGTCTGAGATATTTTAGAGAAAAAATTCTGACCCTGGTTTTTGCCTTAAATAAAAATTCTGGCCGTATCTGGAGTGAAAACAATAATCTTGTCCACTTTTTTTGTTATTAAAAAAAGTTATTTTTAACAGAATTATTTAGCATTAAATGAGGGTGGTAAAGGGTTATTTTCGTGCACCGTGATCGCCGTTTTTTATTTCACGTTCAGTTGTGCAAGACAGGTGCCTCGTTCAACGTGTTCTGCTTATTTAATTTTAATGTGCATCGTGATTTTCAAATGCTTATTTTGCGTGCTCGGTATTTTTCAAATAAAATTCAATTACTTGGCAGGGATCGTCAAGAAATACTTTTTTAAAAGCTGTAAACCATTTATATCATAAATGTGTATACTAAATCGGGAATAACAAGTAAAACAGAGAGTTTATATATACAAGAAGGCAGTGACTCAGTTACAAAAGGTTCACATCAAAGTCTTTATTTTTTTCTTGCAACGTTCATGACAGAAATTATTTCACGTTCAATGTGAAATTATGGCTTATTTCACGTTTTTTCCGTGCAAGCACCCCCCCCCCCCCCCCCCCCTCCCCCTTTACCACCCTCTTAAATGAACATGATGAATAAAAAACAGGCGCAATTCTTTTTTTGGGGGGTTGCATGTGAATTCCATATCTGACCGAAATGTCTGTTTCTCCATGTGTCGACCTTCATTCACAACTTCATTGTCATTTCCGACTAATTCGTAGCCTTTGGTTGATTTGGAACCCCTCACTTCCCTTGTTGGGTAAAACATTTCAACCAAACATTTGGATGAAAATTGCTTGTTTGTCTTTCTTCGTGTCGGTCATATAGTAAATTTCATTGAATAGCCGTAAATCTGTGAGGTTATGCTAACTTACCATACAACAAACGAGAATTTTCCATGTCCGTTTTTTACTGACAAATCCCACATCAAATATATTAATTAGTACATAGCTTTGGATCCATCCAATCATTTCATAATAGACAATTGATGGAGAGAATACGGCACCAGAAATGTCCAACCCCTACACTTTAACAATAAAATGCATTTTACACTTATTTTATGTTTTTTAGCCAAAAAAAATTTTCGCCCCCCCCCCCCTTTCCAAAATCCTGGATCCGCCCCTGGCTGAACAGGTAAGTTTCATTTAATTAGTTCTTACGTCTTTAAAAGCGACTTTCAATATGTCATACATTTGTCACGTTGTAGTGTTGTTGTTGTTCCAAATATAGAAACCGAAACACACGCCACAATGTACGCGTGTGCAGTCGAAACCGACGAAATGTGGTTGATACGAAAACATATGACGTACGAAAACATATGACACGACGATGAGTTTAGTAACGTGCATTTGTAAGACCTTTTTGGAACATTTGTCGTGTTGCTGTTTTCTTTTGGGAAACTGTGATATAGTTTATCAAGACAACTCCAAAATTCTGGACGTGCAATGGGGTCCATTTCGTCTGCTACCTCATTAAACCCGAGTAATTCCGAGTAGACGTGTTTGACATGGGTGCGTTCTATAGTATCACCTGAGACACACCTACTACTAATTTTTTGGGGGTGAAGGAGAGGCATGCATGATGGGCTTTTTCTTTGGGCAAACATTTGTTAAAAATTCTAATCAATAACAAACTATTTTTTGCAACATGCAGAGAGAACAATTAGAATTAATTTTCCCCACCTCCAATTAAAAATATTGTTTTAAAGAAATTTCGCATTAAACAATTTATGTAACAAAAGTTTATTAATTTAACCAGTTATGATTTCCCTTTTCAGTGTTATTTATTAGTTCATTGCTCTTTTGTATATCAAACCTCTAAGTAACTCTCGGATTCCTATGTTTGTTTTTGATCACTTCTAATGCGAGATAATTTTTCAATATGGTGAATCAAAAATATATTTGCTATCAAAAAATTATCATCACGTTACACCCCAGTTCTATTGTTATACTTCATAGTTTCTACTTCTGAAACAAGTGTGAATTGAATAGATCTATTGTTACGAAAAACAATGGATTTTGACCACAGGGTGTGACGAGCGGGGTTTCTGGAAACCCCTGCTTCTACATCCCGCAAACAAAGTCCATTGTTATTCGTAACAATAGAAATTGATTATGAACATAAGAAATTACTAATAGTGTTCACTTCAAATTGTTTCATGATATTAAAAAAAAACACATTTTAGGAAATTCCAATAAGCATCTATATGGAATACAAAAATAATCCTTCAAATACTTTTTTGCTTGAAGGTAATTTTTTTTTTATCCCAGTCATATGGTCTCTATTCTAAAGCATTGATCTTTAAAAAAAGAATTGGGATTCTAGCTCCCGGACCCACCTCCCCCGGTTACCCAGTGGCCGATCCGGGGTTGGGGGTTCCGCGGGTTGGACCCGACTTTAATTTAAAAGATCAATGCATTTGAATGGTTGGGCCCCCCTTTCTCTTGAGTTGGGAACCCCCGGCTGGATCAGCCCCTGATTGCCCCCCCCCCCCCCCCCCCCCCAAAAAAAAAGGGGAGTTCCTCAATATTAAATATTGTATGTTGAGCGTGTCTGGTAGTCGGGTTTCTAATGCAGACACACCTAATCCTTAGTATGTTCGAATATGAATCGGTTTGTTTATTCTCGAGATGAGGGGGGGGGGGGGGGATTTTGTTTTTGATAAAATCATAAGATATAAAATACAGTTATGATTACCTTTATTAGACTGATACAGGTAAGTACTTTGGGTTATAATATTGCCTTTATCTTTAGTCTCTTCTACCAAATCCCACGCTTGCCACAGAATGTCGTCCGTCTTATACCCGTCCATATTGACAACTGTATACCAGGAGCATGATGTAATTTTTTGTTTGTAATAAGAATACACGAAACAGTCAACCTTGACCTGCTGATCCATATTAGCACATGGATTTAACGGGAATATGCAAAACAACTTTGACATTTGTAAAATATACTCACTTGTCAAAGTTTGAACAAAGATAGCCAAAGAAAGGTTACTAGTGGGGTTTCATGTAATAAAATAATATTCTTATAAATCATGGTTTGATATTATCAATAAATATGCTATCGTGTTTTTTTTTCATTTAATAATCAATGTTAACAAATATAGGGTTTAGAATGGGGTGTAAGTTAGTTATACACCTCGGAATACGGTGTGTCTGGATAAGAAACCCCTCCGGCCTCCGACCGACGGGGTTTCTTATCCAGACACACCTATCCCTCGGTGTATAACTATTACTTAAACAGCTGCCTCGGTGGCCGAGTGGTCTAAGTAGTTACTACTGTAATCACTAGCCAGTCAACACTGAGGTTGTGATTTCGAACCCCGCTCGTGTGGGTGCACTCGACTCCAATCTTAATTGACTAGGATTGTCAGTTTTCCTATCGAAGGTCGGTAGTTTTCTCCGGGCACTCCGGTTTCATCCACCAATAAAAACTTGCCGCCACGAAATAGCCCAAAAAGCGGTGCTTCAAAGTGGCGTTAAAACACCAAAAATCAAAATCAAATCACGTTAAACAACCAGATTGGGGCCCAGAAAAGTGTTTCCTCTGATCAAGGTTTTGTTCAGTTCTGCCGGTATCTGAAAAGTCCACAATATTTTGAGTGTTGGAAGTCACTTACGTGTTTTTAGTTTTGAATAAGCGTTCATTCCTTGTGGGAATACGTAACCGATGGTTCAATAGCCGGCACCAATCCCTCAACCACTTTGTAAAACATAATCAACCTGTCTCGGGTGTTTCCTCCGTTCCTTGAAAGGTTCAAATTATAGTTGTGACACATCCCGTTTCTCTGGACTTGTGTAACCGTGCCGGTTTTTTTCTGTATACTTTCAATCTTCTCTATTTCATTGATTGTAATTGATGGATCCAAGGATTGGTATAGTGATCCTCACTATCAGATCCTTGATGGATCCCAAACAACAGCACCATTTTCCAATACAGCTCGTATCATGGCTAGGTAGGCTAGTTTCTTGCACTCAGATGGCATTGGAATTTTGGGTCCTTAATACTTTTCAACTGAGTACTTTATTTGGCCTTTTAACTTTTTTCATTCAAGCGTAACTGATGCGTATTGTAGACGAAACATGCGTCTGGAATAAAAAAAAACTATAAGCCTGGTATCGTTGATTTTATTTTGCTTAGGTTTCTTCTCAAAAGCCTGCTCTCTGTGCGGAGACCTGCTTTGCGAGTATTAATTTTTACTTACATGGCTTCTTTGATCTCGATCATCTGATGTATTAAGACCTATATGTTAAGGGGTTGTTAAAACTTGCTCAAATATATACGTGGTTATCTAGCTGATAGAATTGTCGTTTTTTGTGTTTTATACTAATTATGTGGCATTTTTAGCGTTAAATTGCATGCCCACACTTCCATCGCTTTAAGATCTTCCTCGAGAATTTTATGGATTTTAGTAGTATATTGGCTTCTCGATATAGTAGACAGTCCTATAATATAAAATCGTCAAAATATTTAAAATCTGCCAAGCCATGCCCAGCAATATTTTTAGTTATGACCATTTACCATTTCCTTTCCTAGAACCCTGGTTCCTCCTCTACAATGCCGGAGCCAAACTTGAAATTCTACCATTTCATTCATGGTTTGTTGATGCGGCAGAGAGATTGCATTGAATAACTTTTTGTCTTTCCTAGGACTTTAATAGTTAAATATACGTTATGGGCGGCTTTGCTATTATTGAAAGCCGCACGGTGGTCTATCCCTGCATGTCTTTAGTGAATAGTTATCATTGGAAACCATACTCAATCTTCTTTAAGACAAAATTAAAGCCGTCAGTGTTTGTTTGATAGTTTATGTTCGTTTGGGAGATACAATATACAGTGATGTGATTGATATTTTTTTGGGAATCAATACCCGCTTATTATAGGTTTGTGGCATGTTTTTACTTATATGAATTAATCAGTTTATCTAACAAAAGTGCAAATAGTATTTAAACGAAGTTTTCTCTCTAAATATTTCACATCTTTTTAATATACAAGTGCAATTTATCCCTATATTCTTATCTAAGCGTGATTGCTGTCACTTTCTTAACTTGATATTAGTATTGTAATGGGAATTTGCTATACCCATCGTCATGACAAACAGCTAAATAAGGTTAAAATTGTAACTACACTATTCTTCATTACTGAATCTTGCACTTATAGTAAATTATATAATGATTAGCAATATGTTTCTTTTATTTATTTTTATCATGATTATTTAAATTCTGTACAAGTTTACTTTGAGCATTGGAACAGATTGTTATTTCTAGCAATGTTTATGAAACTGTTGCATGCAATCCTATATGAAGTACAGTGGCCAATATCAGTGGCGGATCCAGAACTTTTCATAAGGGGGGGCCCGATGACTGACCTAAGGGGCGGGCCCGCTCCAGTCATGCTTCAGTGATTCCCTATATAATCAACCAAATTTTTAACACATAAGGGGAGGGGGGGGGGGGCCGGGCCCCCCAGGGCCCTCCCCTGGATCCGCCTATGAATAATTGAGTGTAGGACAGCATGATTTCTATTTCAGTAACCATTGATGACATTCTTTGATACTTTATTATTTAGTGCTGTTTTTGTTATCTGTAGTATTAAGTTTTTTTAGGTTTTCTATGTTCTTTTTTTACCATTCCAATTATCAAGATTAATAAAAAGTTCCGCTGGGCGCAGCTTGATACGACCGCAGAGGTCGAACCCTGAACAGTTGGGGCAAGTATGGACACAACATTCAAGCTTGATACCAGGCCTGGGGTAATGGTTATTTGTAATTGTAATGCATAGTAATATTACATTTTTTTGATGTAATGCAAAGTAATTTGTAATGCACATTTTCATGTAATGTAATGATTACTTTAGTTAGAAATCAGTGTAATGCCTCCATTACTGTACATTACTTTTCATTACAAATTGGTAAAATACATGAAATTGAAGAATATAGAAAAATAAAAATAAAAATTTAACAAAAACAAAAGAAAGTAGTGAATAAAACTATTGTCACAGTTAATTACTGTATTAAATCATTATAGATAGTTTGAGATTTTGGAAGGACAACATGGAAAATAATATATTAGACCAAATTGATTTACCACCTGACACTGGTAAAATTTTCATAAATCTATACACACCTTACATGTATTTCAATGAAAGATTGAATATGTCAATCAACATTTTTACACCAAACTGTTGTTTGGGTCCTGTCTGTGTTGTTATTTTACCTAATTAATATCAAAATGTTTTTATTGCAATCAAATCTTCTCAACTTATGTTTGTCCTCACAGAGCCCTTAGGCATTTAACAAGATAAGCCTTTAATGACAAATTATTATATCCCTTTGAAATCCCTTTATGATGTCTTAATGATTAAGTGATCAATGTTAGAAACAAAATTATATGATAATTTATTTAATTAACCAGTATTTGAAGTCTATGCCTCTAACACAGTATATATATGTACATATACCCCAGTAATATTTATCAATTTCTTATAAA